AAACAATCATTGCTTGCTGAGCTTTCTTCATATGCTCGACAACCTCTTGCAGCAACTTCTCATTGCTTGCTGAGCTTTCTTCAACTACGCAACTGTTCACTAGATGGAACTACCAATCTTTTTACTCCGGCCTTATTAAGATAGATTAGCCCATCCACCATTACAAACTCACTTTCTGTGGCCTTGTCTTTTGCCTGAAGTTTGCGGATGATGTCCATCGTGACAGGGTCTTCCTAATAGGCTCCCACCAATGATTGAGTTACTTCATTAGATACGCCAAAGTCAGAAAGTAGCGCACCTAGGTAGTCTGCTYTACGGGATAGTGCGTCTGCAACYTTGTTGTACTCTCCCTTCAAGTACTCAAGCTTGAAGTCATATTGGTCTATGACCTCAATCCATCGCTTGAGTGCATCAGAAAGAGCCGGTTGAGGCTTGATCCATTTGAGGGTCTGATGATTAGTCCTCAGGTAGAAGAACCTTCCCAAAAGGAAGTGTCTCCAATGGACAAGTGCCTTGTAGAGAGCATAGAGTTCCCTTTCGTAGGTGGACTTAGCCAACTTCTTCGATGGCATCTTCTTACTCATGTACTCRATCGGTCTCAACTTTTTCCCTTCCTGCTGAGCCAGCACTGCGCCAATGTCGTATTGGCYTGCGTCAGTGGTTACTATGAATGACTTATGCGGATCGGGAACCATGAGAACTTCATGATTCATGAGTGCATGCTTCAATCTCTTGAAAGCACCCTCGCACTCATCACTCCAGTCCCACGGTGTGTCAAGTCGAGTTAGATCAGTCAAAGGAGAGGCGACTGTAGAATAGTTATTGACGAAGTTTCTATAGTAGCCGCACATTCCTAAGAATGATCTGACCTCAGTGACTGTTTGAGGTCGTGGCAAGTCTCGAATACTAGCCACCTTCGCATCTTCCGGCCTAATCCCCTGCGCGGATACTTCATGACCCAAGTATAATATCCTAGTGCGATCGAATTCACACTTCTCTAAGTTGACCTTATACTAGTGCTGTCGTAGGAGTGAGAGAACTGTCTCAACATGTTGTGCGTGCTCCTCGGCGGACTTACTAAAGATCAAAATGTCRTCTAGATAGACTACGACAAACTTATCTAAATGGTTATGGAAGCTCCGATTCATAGCGTGCTGGAATGTACCCGGCGCATTGCAAAGACCGAAAGGCATCACTACAAACTCATACAAACCATATCTAGTCTGAAAAGCTGTCTTGTGTTGATCCTCAGGTCTTATTGCGATCTGATGATATCCGGATTTCAAGTCTATCTTCGTATAGTACTTGCATCCCTGCACTCTATSCAATAGGTCGTCTATGCGAGGTAGAGGCWYTRCGTTTTTCACCGTGATGGCATTGAGGCCCCTATAATCAATGCACATCCTCAAAGTACCCCCCTTCTTCGGTACAAATAGCACGGGTGATCCGTAAGGGGAAGTACTAGGCCGAATCCATCCCTTCTCTGTCAGCTCCTTGAGTTGCTTTCGAAGTTCATCTAACGCGGCAGGGGCCATCCTATAGATCCTTCCTTTTGGGGTCTTACTCCCTGGAATGATTTCTATAGCGTGAACGACTTCCCTATCAACAACTCTTGTGGGCTCCTCGAACAAATCAGGGAACTTAGCAACGACGCGTTCTATCTCTAGGGGTGTTTTAACGGCCTCCCCCTTCTCAGAGACATAAACAAGGTACATACCCTCCTCTTGGTTTTGCTTGTAATAGTTGTAGAACGCTGATGCACATAAGCAGCCATATGTATCTACAATACTGCTGGCCTTGAACTTTGTCAATCTGACTGTTCGGCCATCGGGCAACTTCTGTTTGAGCACCTTCTTATCCCAGTCAAATGGGGGCTTAGCAACTTCGAGGTAGTACATGCCTAAGAATACGTCRAATGGTAAGTCGTCGCTAACCAAGAACGMGATCTTATGGTTAAGCTCTCCTCCTCCATAGGAGAAGGTACAGACTACGTCCTTGATGTAGTCCGTTACAATCATGCGCTCCTTATTGGCCAAAGTAGATGCTACTGGTCTACTAAGGTGYTGTACCCGGTCCTGTAGGTGCAGCCTTTCCAAACAGTCGCGACTTATGTAATTMCGTGTGGAACCGTTGTCTATGAAGGCACCACATTTGCGGCCTCCTACATCCACTTCCACCACAAAATGTTCCCCTCTAAGACCCTTCTTTAGCGCCACCCAAGACTCGCGAGGGTCTTTGTTTGACCACTCGCCTTCTAAGTCTTCTAAGGCCTCAGACACATCTAACGTACARAGCATTGTTTGGTCTAGATCCGTCTGCGGGGTAGCTAAGGAGTCATTAGCTTCGGCCTTGTCATGAAGTGAGGAGGGTATCATTCCCACTTCATCTTGAGTAGAAGCCGCTATTACTTYCACTGGCCCTACGCGTTTCCCGAGCTAGAAGCCTGGGAAATAGTTGTCCCAACTTTTGGCGCAACCTTTTGCGTAACCTTCGCGTTCGGACACTTCCACTGCGTGTGTCCGTATTCACCGCAGTTGATACAAGCGCCACGCGATCGGCGGTCACGCCACACGTCTTGGTCAAGACCTACTTTCACCCACTCGGCCTGCTTGGACTGATTGGAGGCGGCCTTCCCTTGACTCCKTGGTTGGCCCTTCCCTCGGCCACCTGCCTTAGTCTTTACTACCGCGGCGAGGGTGCCACCCTCAGCTACTTCCTCGCCGTCATACTCTGAGTAGTCCACCAGGTAAGAGAGTTCATCGATCTCAGTTTGGGTCCCATCGGGCTCAACCATCATCAACTTCCGCCCCCTTCTTTTCAACTCCTGATGACTCTTCTTCTTCTTTGAGTCATTCCCTGAGGTGGGTTGAGCATTGCCTAGTGTGGCCTCTAAGTCTAAGGCTTTCCTAGACAATGTCTCAAACRAGTGGTACTCGGTGCGTGCTTCACTGGCTAGCAAGTTCCTAATGTTCTCTGGGAGACATCTGACAAACGTAGTCAACAGGAACTGGTCGCTGTAGTTAATGYCTGGGACGAGGATGAGGCTCTCAACGGTAGTCGTAAGCTCTCTAAYTGACCGGAACTTTCGTTGGTCCAGTTTGTTAATGGCATCAATGGCCTTTTGAGCCTCCTGTGGGTTATGCCATCGAGCTTCTACCGTCTCCATGAATTGGTCTAGAGTTAAAGACTTAGCCCAATCTGCCATGCGTCGCCCATACCCGGCTTTTATAACTACTCCGTCTAACCACTTGGCTGCCTTACCTTCGAGGTAAGATGCCGCAGTAACCACTTCGTCCTCTAGCAAGGTCCTCTTGGCCTTCACCCAAACCGGGACTGTTCTCAACCATGTGTTGAGTTCTTCGCCCTTTCCCTCGCCTGAGAAGGCAAGAGGTGGTTTCATTGGGGTCTTAGGATACCAKTGACCTTGTGGCTGTCCAAATTGCTGAACAGGTTGCTGCGGTGATGTAGCCATCACC